TGCCCTCTGGGGTTGAGTGTGCAGTCATTTCTGGGTGTCCTCTCGGGTTTCTCCAGGTGTCTCTGCTCTTTAAGCGAAGTTTGTCATTCCAGATCTGATCTTGGCAACGAAAAGGGCAGGACAGTTTGTTTATCTCCGTTAAATTTGAAGTTAAGTTTGAAGCTGAAATCGAAAGGGTTGTGTTGCCTGACGGAGGCATAACATTAATTATCAAATGCTTTAACATCATGGAAAAAAAAAGTGCATCCGATTTAAGTGGCGAGCCAAAGTCTGTAAGTGAAATCTACGTTCTTCCTTGGCCAGAAAGCTCCTCTTGGTCTCCCTGCTTTGTTATCCCTGTCACCTCTCCTCGTCACCCCCCATCACCCTTTCTCTTTTGCCTGGATTTTTTTATTTCCTTGTGTCACATCCCCTCTTTGCACGATACAGTTGCTCTTGGAGAAGCTAGAGGAGCAAATGAAACTACACGGTTATGTGAAAGGTCTCTGACCCTTGATCACCGTGGAATTGGTTTCAGTCGGTGTTGTTTGATCTTGGATTGGACACGACCCTGAAGTGAAATTGCTTTGGCCCAAGTTGAGGGTGGGTGGGATTTCAGCCCAAAAAGCAAATAGAGGGAGGATGAGTAACAGTAGGCACAATCACTGAGACAGTCGTCTTTGGCCTGGCTTGAGCCAAACAGAATAAAATGTTAAATATCCCGGGGAACAAGAAGTGGGGACTAGAATAGGATTTCTGATGCTCAGATTGACACCCGCCCCTCCCCCGCCCCCTCCGCACGGTAGCAGAAACTTTTAACTATATTTTCCCATTCCCACCCTGCCAGTATTCCAGCAGTGCACGCCAAGTTCAACATTCAGCATGCAAATGCCAAGGTTCCTCTAGAAAAAGAGTCTGATCCCCAGATTAAAGGGAAATGATTTTGTGTGTGTGGATCATTGGGCTCCAGATTATATATGAAGCCAAACTCTAATCCTCTGCAAATCGCAAGAGAACGGTACCTTTTTATACCGCTGCATAGCGATTACCTTCCTCCCCGGGAAGTAGCGGAAAGATATTTTTTAAAAAGGCAACTGTTTGGAATATTTTCAGTACCCAATAACAGTGGTGGCAGAAGAAATCTTATTTTAATTAGGCAACTGCCATTTCCCCTGCGAGAGAAGTAGAAATTTGTTGCTTTTTATAAGTGTTTAATGTTTGTTTTTAAGAAACTAAAAAAGCAATTCCAATAAGTCTGATTATTCCAGCACTGACAGCAGGAACAGCTCTGAGGCAGTTATAATAACCTTGCACACTACTTGAAACTAAAGAAGGTGAGAGAAAATTTAAATTGTATGGTAGGAAATTAGGTCAGCCCTGTGCTCAGTAGAGTAATGCTTTAATTTCTTATTGACAAGTGGGTGTTGCCGGAGTCTTTTGTCACATCCAGTGATTTGGTATTTTAATTTGCATCAGGTTCCTATCACGGCCCCAAATAAAAGGGAAAAGAGAGATTATTGTAGTTTGTACACATTTTAAAAGGAGGGAAGTCAGTTTGAAGGCTGTTCGGAGAGGCATATCTGATAGTAGGCTTTGGAACCAGCAGGGCCAAAATCAATAACATGTTTGAAAGCTTAAAGAGCATCTTAAGGATTATTTATGAAGCTCTCTTCTCTGTGTTAATAGTCATGGAGAATTTTGATCTACGTCGAAACATCATTATTCTCAGGGGACTGACCAAAGATGTACCCACTGACTTGTGAACAGGTTTCAGAGTTTCCTTTTTGGTTGGGCACGCTATGTGGAGAGCACGTTTCCTATGTGCAAAGTGAAATACAAAAAAAGAGACACTTAGCAAGAACGGCGCCACCTGTGCTCCCACCATGGGTTCCCCGGCACAGCATCTCTTTCTGTGTTTTCTGTAGATTCCAGGTAGACCCGAGCTGCTTCTCCTGGAGTTACCGAGAATTCTCTACTGTTTTTGAAGCTAGACACAGAGTAATAAATACAGCTGTAAAATCTCTGTTGCTCACCAGCCAAAAATGGGCTTGTCCTGTAAGGCAGGATGTAGATAGGAGTCTCGCAGGTTTGTGCCTACTGTGGCTTTACTGTCCATATTTCATCTTTTCTTTCTCTTCTGGGGGTTCAGTATGTCCCACGAGGGCTGCGAATTCACCACACGCTGAAAACACCCACATCCAGTGAAGCGAACATTTGGTTCATCTTAGAGTTACCAAAGAATCGGAAGTCACTGGAGCCGGCTTGTCAATCGTTCTTAGCATTAAATGATGAGGAGATTATTTTTCTATTTGTGAGGATTAGTCACACCCTTTATTCTTTTCTTCTTTCCACTTGTGTTCACTTCTCTTGCTTGGCTCTGGGTTGCAGCTGAAGTGAAACTAAGACTGTAAAGACGAAATGCAAATCTGTTTTCTAGTTACTTGGCATTGCTTGCAAAGAAAAGGCTTGCGTGTTGGAGGGCAAGGAGGTAAAAGACGATGGGCTTTTGGATTTGTTTGGGTTCCTTTATCTAGGTTATTCAAGTCGCCCCCCGCCCCCAACCCAGCATCACAGGTAAGTGGGAAAATGAGCACCTGGAAAGGCCTCTATCTAATGACCTGTGAAGTGGGTGAACACAGAATTTTGAAAATCCTTCTCACAATTTTGACCCACTGGAATAAATTCCTTAGAAAGGTGGACATGTCTGTAGATCAGCAGTCACGAGGTTTGTTTTGGAGAGAGGCAGCTTACGTGAAGCTTGCGTTCACTCCATGTGGGACTCTCCTGCGCCTCGTATGCGAGTGTCTCTTTTCTTTGGGAATTGCATTTGGTATGAGTCACCGTGTTCTCCCGTTTGAAGTCCATTACAGATGCTGCCTTTTCGGAGCACTTGTCTGTGCTTCTGTCTGGCCAGGTTGATCAGCGCAGACAGACATTTCTCTGCCCATCTATTGAGGATGCTACAGTCCTCCCACACTTTGTAGGGATGGGACTTTATTATCATGCATTGTGTGTATTAAGGACCCATATGTGTGGACACACGTGCTTTTCCCCTCTTCTCCCTTCCTCCCTTTCTCCCTGGTGTTCCCATACGCGTGGCCTTGGGAAATGACAGGAGACCGAAATGCAGGGTGGTCTTTCCTTGCTGGGCACTTTCCGAGCTAAAAAACACCCGAGAACAAGCAACACTTTTTCCGTGAAGCTGCAAGCTGCAGCCTCCTTGTGCTGTGCATATAAAGTACCAGTTCCGCCCACCTCTTCTCCAGATCAGAAACCAGCTTGGTTGCGGGGCTCCCTAAAATCCCCAAAAGCACGGACTGCATGTGTGCGTCTTCTGCTCTCCTTGCCCTTTAAGACTTGGACTTCACTCTGGTACATTCCCTCGGCTGAGAAGCCCCTGTTGTGCTCCTCACATGTGAATTGTGTCTGTGGAAGAGTACACCAGAAATGAATGTGTCCTGGAGAGACTGAAATGGCCCCTGGCAAGTGAACATTGTCTTGTAACTTTTTTACCGGAGTCTTCCCTGTTCCATCCCTTTTCCATCCCTGGATGGTAAATATCAGAGGGGATGATCTTGGAAGGGTTACAGTTTGGGGAATTTCCACATGCTGGGTGACATTTATTATCGTATTTCACAAACCACAATAAGTATTTCTCCTTTTAACTTCTTTTTTTTTTTTTTTTAACAGAGGTAATTCACATGGAGTGTTTTTTGTTCTCTACAAAGGGTCTTAGGCTTGGCCGGTTTACAGCAGGTGGATCCTCATCTATAGTGTCAGCAACTAGCAAAAAGCTCACTTTTAGTAGGCGTTAATTTGGGGGCCACATAACAACAAAAGCAGCCATGTATTGAGCACCAGGGTGTGCTGGTCACCTAATCCCTTAACTCTCCCAAGTGCGCAGGCCTGCCCCCGATGGTGCAGTTAGTAGGGCGCAGAGCAGTATGGAGGCCTCAGGTTGAAAATCGGTGCCGAGGTCGCTTGACATTTGCCCTCCTCAAACTCCTCTTTCCATGCGAGCCCTCTGTACTTGGTGCTCGCCTTGAAGTGTCCACGTGTAAGCCATTTCTCTTCTCTGCAGCCCCACCCTTCCCCTGAAGATCATGAACAGGCTGTGTGTATGACTCCTGAAATACCTATGTTCAGGGCTGCATTTTACCCTATCAAAGCCCGTCATGTAATCCCCGAAAACGGGAAATACGATGCTATGGGGATTTATGTAGATGGGCCAAAGTAAGGAAAAGTATATGTGGTTATCTCTCCCGGATTTATTCATGCAACTGAATTAGGAACAGAGGTGTTTTGTTCTTTTTGTAGCGGGAGCTGATAGCTGGCAACCACACTTAGCTGAACTTCAAGAAATGGGAGAGAACTGTGAATGCTTCATTCAGGCCCAAGTAAATATAGGAAAAGGTGGAGTGGTGTGTGGAGGACTGAGTCAAAAAAAAAAAAAAGGCACTTGAGAAGGAAGTCATGGGGAGAGGGAAGGTAGGATACATTGGTTGGGCACTGGCTAGACCTTAAGCCAAAGTGAAATGCAGTCGTCGTGGGTATGAGACCTGGATATGGGGAAGAAGGAGTAATGGAAAAATGTCAGGGGTTGTGAAAGCCACTGAGAAGTGAGGTGATTTGTCTTTTGAACTGATGTCCTGTGTCTCTTTGACAGGGTTGAGTGTAACTCTTGTCAGTGTCCTTTCTGAATGGTCCACATTGGACAGGTGAAGAAATCCTGGTTTTTGATTATTTATTACATAACCAAGTCATTTTATAACCACAGAAGGACAACCGACTTGTGGGGTACCAAAAAGAAATTCTGGTTCCCAAAGCATGTTCATGTTGCTTTTCCCTTTGAGGGCGAAGGTAGCAGCCTCTCTGCTTGTAAGAAACATTCTCGACTGTGTCACGAAGTCCTGTGAAGTAACGATGCTGAATGAAATAGAAGCAAACCATACTTTTCTTTCCTCCTTTTCTTTACTACCCATTATAAATTCTAAAGTCTCTCTTTGTATTTTCTCTTATAGCCATGAGACCCAAACAACTTGCTGGGATCATCCCAAAATGACAGAGCTCTACCAGTCTTTAGGTAAGGACATGGCCACCTTTGCTCCAGGTTAAATGGCAGGTGACTCGCAGGATAAAGTAGTTTGTAGTGTGCACGTTGTTGGTTGTCTAAATCTGGTTATCACTAGATTGTTTAAAAGGTGAAAACGACACCTTTCAACCCAAAATTGACAGCTTTCTTTTTCACAGAGGTTCTTTAAAAAGAAGTTATAGAATGTCATGGATTCCTGAAAATTCAGTATATCTGAGAGGGCCAAAAGGTCTTTGTAGTTTTCTTTGCTGCGTAAAAGGATGGGAAAAAAAAATACTTGCAATTTATGGCAATTGTTTTTCCCACCAAGAAAGAAAACTGTTTTAAGTTGTTCTTATTGATTTCTTCCCTGTGAACTCAAGACAGCACTTTTGCCAAACCACGAATATTGTGGTAGGAATTTTCTGCAGTCTTTCCAGTGCTTGTAATTCTCAAGCCTGTCAGGTCGTCAGCGTGAACATTTAAATGATTTCTCTACTATGTCTTGTTTTGTGTTTGTGTGAGAGCCTGATAGTTTTCTTCCCCCTCATAACTGGGAATTATTTGAACAGACACACAGCCTCCAAATAAGAAGAAAACATCAATCCTTCTAATGCTTCATGGAAGTCCACTCTGTACCATTCTAGATCTTTGGAGAGTAATCTGAAATGAATTATCTTACATAGTAACTAGTTGTTGTTTTTTTAATTAAAAAGTACATCTCTGCTAAAACAATTTTTTAAGTCTGCTTCTTTGTGAATGGACGTATTTACAGACTAAAATGCTTTGGGTTTAAAGCTACGTGATGGTGCCCATGGGAATCAGGGTGATCAGACGAATTTTGTACATGTGTGAGCACGCGTGTGTGAGCGCGCGTGTGTGCGTGCGTGCGTGTCTGTGTGTAGCTATTGCTGACTTGCTGTCATAGGTTCTCACTGGTTAACTAATTGAAATTAGAGAGACATGGGGTAGGAGACATTAGTCAAAAAATTGTTTTCCCAGACTTCTTCTAATATATGGGAAATTAGTTTCTCCTAGAAAATCCAAAAAATACAAATAGAAAGCATGAAAAACAAAAGACTTCACTTGCAATTCTACTGACCAGAGATATCCAGTACATTTCAATTAATACTATATCATTTTAGTCTAGCAGCCTGTATGTATGTGTGGTGTGCGTGTGTGTGTGTATGCATTGCACATAGGTACACTTTTTAAAAATTTCAAGAAAATTGGGATCAACTCATCTTTAAGTGCTACATTTTCAGCCCTTACAAAATGTTTCTGGCGTACAGTGCTGTACTGTTTAGACCACAGGTGGAAAACTTAAATGCTTATCTTTTGGCAAATGAGAGAATGGAGGCCTCATCTGAAGTAGGCAGCGGCTTTGCTGGGCAAGCAGGCCATCCTAGCCCTGTGCTCTCAGGACTTGTGATTTTTCAAGAGAAATGAGAAATCTGTCGATCAAGAGCTAATTTGAACTTGTCTGTGGACCTCCTGATTATAACCTCGGGTTTACGCTGATTCAGCCCACTTGTAATGTTTTACCTCTAATCAGAGTGACTTGTAGTTGTAATATTCGAACTTACTTTTACTTAAAAATCTTTATTATAGAACTAATAATTCAAATTTTTGGAAGTTTGAAAATATAGGCAAGCTAATGAACAAAAAAGAAGAAAAGACAAATCCTTTGTAACCCACCTCTTAGAGTTAACTAATAATAATCTCGTAGGTAGCTTCACAAAAATTTTTCTCTATATATAGTTTTACAAAAGTTGGATGGTTCTGTTTTATAATCAGCTTTTTTTCACTTAAAGGTAATGTACCATGGCCATATTTCCGTTTCATTACATTGTATTCTCTACTGGCTTACTTTTAATTGCTCTGTAATGAGAAACCACAAACGTGGTTGATAAAAAGCTAATTATGAACTATCAATGAGTAGATGTTTGTACCTTCAGTAGGAATTAAATACACCTTTTATCATCATTTCTGAAGTTTTTGCAATAATTCAAATGTGGTAAACTCAAAGCTGGTAATCTGGCATGATTTCTGACCTTGGGCAGATCACCTGACTTTGGGAGATAATAGAATTCTACAGCTGCAGGGGAATTTAGAGCTCATTTATTACAAACTTTTTCTTTTTAATGAAATCAACTTTATTGATCTAATTTACGTATCGTAAAATGCAGCCATCTTAAATAAATGGTCAGTTCCAACCTCCTTTGAAGTTCTGCTCTTAGCTATCCCCGTAACAATCATCTTAGAAATGAACTGGTGTTGAAATTTGTCCTACGGCTTTCAGAACTAAAATTGCCAGTGTTTTTTGTTACAATCAGATGTTACTTAGGCTAACTTTTATCCAAATGGGGACTCATCCGGTAACATCTTCCATTTATTTGAGAGCCCACTGTGTGTGCTGCGCATTGAACATGTCCACAACCGTTGTGCACTGTGGAAGATCTCAACATCCATATTTCACAGGGCAGTGAAGTCAGGTGCAGAGAAACCATTTATCAGGGCTACACAGCTCTCTGGGGCTATGCGGGGATTTGCTCAGGGTCCTCTACTAGCATTTTCACTCATCTCATCGATGTTATTAACTCAGTAGAGCATGCCCACATAGGTTACTGTGCACCTGTTACAAATATGTATGAGTTGACAGTTTCACCTGTGGAGAGAGAGTGACTTGAATAGTATTTCTGGAACAAACCATTGCATTTCTACAGATGGTATGGTAGGTTCCTAGAGGGTAGGCCCTCTTCCTTTCAGTTTTGCCTGGCACTGTGGAATGGTTGAGTTTGTTACACATGGTTGAGTTTGTTTGTTACATATGGTTGGGTTTGTTTGTTACACGTCTATATCCCTGAGATGACCTACAAGATTAAGTATTATTTGTGCCCTCACACCCCTTACAGTGTTTCCAAGTTGAAATACAAGCGTAACATACTGAAAAGAAACCTTTTATTTCTTTTTAATTTTTGTATATTGGCTTATATTTTTTACTCACAAGATAGCCCTTTAGGTCCAAGTTTCTATTTTGAGCTCTAGAATAAATGGTTGGAAGTATTCATCTGCCCTCAGTTCATGAAAGGTATCATGAAAGCAAAACTGGTGTGTGATTGGGTGTGTTCAGTGTTTTAGACAATATAGATCTGAAGTAGGCCCCTCACTGGGGTGCCTGTGTGGCTCAGTGGGTAAGCGTCTGCCTTTGGCTCAGGTCATGATCCTGGGGCCCTGGGATCGAGCCCCTCATCAGGCTCCTTGCTCAGTGGGAAGCCTGCTTCTCCCTCTGCTTCTGCCACTTCCCATTGAAGCTACAGTGGTTCACAATATGCAGGAACTATGACACATTCCTAAGTATGCCCACTTCCGAGAAGACTTCCATTCTCGAATTGGCCCAAATCCCCAGCCAGCCTGTTCAACACACGTTTGTTAACGCCCCTTGTCCCCCAGAGCATTCAGGTGTTCTCCGGGCACCCTCTCCTGTGGTCTGGACAGCATACTGCTGGAAACCAAAAGCATTTTGGATGGACTGAAAAAGTAGCATTTGAGCACCCACTGATGGAAAGCTAGGATGTTACTTCACGTTATATTTGCATTCTCTAGTTAATAGAATGATAGGTAAGTTTCTTCTTCATTCTTTGTGATTTTTCTACGATGAATGGATATTATTTAAAATTAGGTGTTTAGCATAGAATGTTTCTTCATCATTACTCCACTCCTTAGTGTCCCTACAGTTGTAACCGATTCACCAGTGAGAACCCGTGACAGAAAAGTAATGATAGTCACACACATACCTCCCCCACACATCACACATACATGTATAGGATTGATGTTTAAGTACCCCAACTCCATTAACTTTGTCAGGTAACTTTTAACACCAGGCGATGGCCTCATGTGTTTTAGTTTCTAAATATGTCCTTCCACAAAAAAAGCAGACCTAAAGAGTTTTAATGGTAGAGAAGACATAATTAACTTTTTTGTTTAAGAAAAAAAAAAAAGGAAGAGATTTAATTCCAAATTATTCTTAACAGCTCCAAAACAGCTTTCTGGAGTGAGCTCTCATCAAATGTTAAAAGTATTTGTGTTTTCTCCTTACGTTTTAGGCTGTGTACCTGCTTGAAAAATTCTAAGTTCTGAGGGCAAAACATGTCAGACTTCCACACCAGTACACAACAGGGTATAATAAAGAAATAATGTAAATGTTCACAGTGATGACCTGACAGTCATTAGGAATTTGAGGATTGGAAGGTCCCCAGAAAATTTATGCAACCATTAACAGTTTGGCAAAAACGTGGACTTGTTTTCACAAGGAGGAAATCAATAAGAACAACCTGAAAACAGTTTTCTTTCAGCATTTTTCTCTGACTGCCCCCAGTGTGGGGCGTGAGGGGTATATCAAAAACCGGTTTCCTGTATCTATTTTTATGTGGGCCTTAGTATTCTTATCTTTATAATGAGGGTGTGGGACCAAAGTGTCTACAAATTTTGTTTATTTTTTTCTTACTTTGGGCTGAAGTAGAGCAGGTTGTTTCCAGAACTTGCTGTGATCATAATTTTTCAAGAAGCACCTTAGGCTGACTCTGCAGACAAATGTATTTCTGAAAGTTGAATCATTCCTATTTTTAAAACTGCGCATTCTAGAAAACAAACAACAGGGAGAAGATCCTGCCACCCATCCGTGTCTTACAGGCAGAGTGAGGCAAGCTATTACCAAGTACAGATGCTCTTGAGATATTTCCCCCAAGACCCGCCGGGCCATCCATTTGTTGTTCAAAAGGCATGTTCTTCATCATTTCTTAGAAGCAATAATATGGCCGATACGTGAGGTGAATTTCAGGTTTCCTTCAGCGTCTTTACAAATGTAATGGAAAGATTGTTGTTGCATTAGGTTATCTTGGCAATTCAAAAGCTAAAACTCTTTAAGGCTCGAAAAGACATTTACAAAATCAGTAGCTGTTAGATAGTGATGTGCTCCGGAATTTATTTTGAAATATTAATATAAGACTGAT